TGTGGACTGGTCTTAAGACGTCTGTGTCCAGAGACTCGGGTGCATGTGTTCTGGGGTTGGGAACACCACATGGCACATTCTCGAAGCTCCTGTATGATGCCAGTGTTTAGCCAAGGTTGAGAATCACTGGCCTAGACGTGTGATCTGAACTCTTGTTGGAGGAGTGTCTGTACAATGCAGGCTGCCTCCTCTATGGTTGCTCCTGGAGTCACATTCATTGTCTCCTGGCACAGGGGACAGAAGTAGCGGCTCAGCCACAAAATGCCCAGTGCTGAGCTGCACAAAACACCATGGATAAAAAGTGCAGCACAGCATGTGAGGCACTGTAATTGTGCAAGACTTGGAATCACCGTGTAAGGCAAAAGCCAGCCGGAGTAAAGGCTGTTCTCTTGGTGTGCTAGGTGCCATACCAAGTGCTTCCTGTTGTGAATCACACTAGAGTGCAGTAAGGTGGTGACAGCCTAAGAAAACCTACTCACTGAAGGTCACAGGGCTGAAAGGCTGGGCTAGAATTCCCCTCTGGGAGTGATGGTAAGAGTCCCTTCAGAAGGCTGGGTTTCCTGCATCTCCTACAGGGTTTCCTTCATCTCAGGTTTCTGAGCTCTCAGCTTGCCCCAGGATGGCAGTACCCCTAGATGGAAAACTTGTCTGAGCATTACTGTTTCTTGTTCATTCTCTATGGCATAATTGGAGTCTCACTAACTTTTTGCCCAGACTGGCCTTGAACCACAATCCTGATCTCCACCTATCAAGTATCTGGATTACAGGTGTGAGCCATGCGCCCAACTCTGTCTGTGTGTTTTGAGGAGCTACGTTACGAATACGTTTTCACCAGACACCACAGAGACCTGACCAGAGGAGATTCTGTCCCACCTTGGAACTGTGTGTGCTCTTGCCTTTCTTTAGGTTTTGTATTTTTATATTCACCACCGATAGGAACACAGCCAGAATAATTGAGGTGCTGTTTTCTACCAGCCCAATACAGTTTTCCAAAGGAGCTTCCTCTCAGGGCCAGGCCTGTGTGCTTTACCTAATGTGCTGTCTGGTATTTCTGGCTCCTGTGGAATAGAAAGTAAGCGAAATAGCTCGCTGCCCTCTGCCTGTCCCATTTCCAGAGGCTAAATGTTGGTTTGTGTAAGCCAGCTTACAGTCTTGTCGAGCATCATTATCATGTGAAAGGAAAGCGTTGACTGAGCTTGGCTCCTCCAGGTGAACTACAACTTGTGACTCACTTATTATGGGTCTATAATCAGTTCCCAACATGTCAGGAAAAGAAACAAACAACTTCCTTGTTTTATGGAGTGCTAACAGAAGAAAACTCGTTAATTTCCTAATTGTTCTCCCCTGCCCCAGACATTAGCTCTACACATGTAGCTGCAGCAATAAACTGAGCTCTGTAATAACATTGCATTGTCAGCTCCCCTCCTCAAGGTGTTTCCAGTGACCTTAACCTGTGCTCATTCTTAAGTGTATAATTATGTATTTGTCATTGCATCTAGAATGGGCCATTTGAGTTGTAGTCAATGAATGTCTATAAAAAGTTTCTGTGTATCTTTTCGCAATTGCAATCCCTGTGCGGAAGATGTTTATCCAGGAGCGCATTCCCTCTGTTCACCCGCAGCTCCAGTGTAGCCATGATTTTTAAGAAGTCTTTAATTTACTTGTATTGCCTGTTTACATGTCAGTATTCAGCATGTAATTTTATTTCCATCAAAGAAAATCTTAACCACTTAGCATATTTAGAATGCTACCTTTGTTTTTCCTTGATGAAGTTGTTATAGACTGAAAGAGGCACAGAATAGATAGACGGGAGACAGTTCAAACACTGGCACAGGGTTTATTCAGGAATGGGGTTCCTTCTAGCCAAAGCTAGAACCCCACTGCTGCTTATGAACTTGGAGTAGATATAGGGGAGGGCAAGTTTACCAGGCCGGGAAAATTTTTCAGAGGTTAACAATTACTAGGGGAAGCTAGAGGAGATAAGTGGCAATTAGGTAGATTGGTTGCTTGGCTCAACAAGGTAAGTTTGTCATTTCCTTGAGGCCAGGTGTAGTTCTTCCAGTAAGTGATGGGGTGCTTCCAGTAAGCTGCCTACAAGGGTGAGGGGTCCAGTCCTAACATGGCTTCCCTTTTGGTCACCCTAACATAAGTGAGGTGTTTTTCTTGCATTGAATAATAAACCCTGAATACTTTTACTTGTCACTTTCCAAAAACACTGGTGTTGGAGAAGCAATTTGCAGTTTAGCACCATGCTGAGAGGAAGTGTGTGTCTTTGGCCCTGAGGAAGGCATCCTTTTTCACTGGACTTCCGGAAGCTTGAGCTCTTTGCTGCAGTCAGCTAGCAGCATGACAGCCTTGCTGCATTTGCATGGTGCCCTTCACTGAACAGTCTCTGTGCTTACCAGATGGCGTTAGCAGTTCCATAGCTTGGTCACCCTTTGAAGAATGCCCTGTCATCCCCATTTTACAGATGGAAGCTAAGTATTCCAAGGCTTCATGACTTGCCCAGGGCCAGGCTCTTGACCAGACTTTGGCTTCCAATCCCACTGCCTCTCAGCTCCTGAATGCCAGCATCCTGCTTTCTCTCCCTTCCCCCTTCCCTGCCAAAGCCCAACAGCCCCTGCTGTTTGTCTGTGGACATTCCTCTTATCTTCTCTGGAGTGTACCGTCCCCTCTCCAGGGAGTCCTTGCCTGTGAGCCCCAGCTGTTGGTTGTCCCTTTCTAAACCAAAACAAGAGCCAAAACCCAGCCTTAGCCTGTATGCAGACAAACCTGTGATCCGGAAGGGTCTGAGTGCCGCTCTCACAGCAAGCCTGAAGACAGGCTGATGTTCTTCCTCTCTGCCTGCCACAAGGCCCTTGCCTCTTCTGGGTCTCACATGGTCTGACCACATTGTCCATATCGTCTTCCTTCCTCCATAAGGAGTCTGTTGTAAGCACCCACCCCACTACCAGGTGTGTGGTAGGTTGCTGGAGGAGAGGTTGGACCACAAGGGCTGCTGCTTCTGGAATCTTTGGGTACCCTCTCAGGTGGGGCCACTCCCAACTTGACCATAGAACGCTTAAGACCACCTTGCCTGCTTCACACACCATCTATGCTGACAAATGAGCTCTCCTTCCCTCCAGGATATCCTGGACCAGTACTTTTATAAAACATAATATAAAATGATGAATCAAGCCTAACTTATAATAAAATCGAAAATTGAACAAACATGGTATGTTGGATTGCCTGCAGAGTTCTCAGCCCATCCTCTTAGTGTCAGTTCTATGAATTGTCAGGGGTCTCCAGACCTCACTTTGGTTACCCTTTCTAGATAAGTAACCTTAGGAAGGTGCTAACTTCTGAGCTTTGAAACTGTCTGTACAATGAGACCAGTGATACCTTTGCATTGTCAGAAGTAAATGAAATCATGAAAGTATCTATGACTGCCTGTTACATGCTAGGTGTCTACCAAATGATACTTCACTTCTCATCCCACCTCCAGTAATTTAAATGATTACCCCCTAATTTATTTACCCTCTAATTATTCTCTTCTCACAGGCCTTTGTGAAACTGAAAACCATCAATAATAGTGACTCCCAGCAAGTCTATCTTCAGAATCTTCTGGAATACACTGGGGCTGTGTTCAGACTAGGAGTGATGGTTACATGGGACTTCTTTGCTTTTAGGCTTTTTTAATAAACAAAGCTAGGCAAGCATATATATATATATATATTTTTTTTTTTGGAAAGAGCAAACTATGCCATGGGTTCATACTAATATTTCTAATTCAGATGTAAGATTAACTTATTCCATGCTTCTATTTTAGGGTGAAAATCTTGGTTGCTAATGACACTAGTTACTCATTTGCTTTAAACCAAATGTAATAGTTCAAAATAACAGTACTAATATTATTACAAATTCTTAGATGACTAGATGCATTTAGATTTCCCTGCAGTTCTCTGTGACCATAGGATCTCTGTTTCACTGGGGATGTAAAGCCAAAACACTATCAGTTCTGTGAAATCATTTTTCTTCATGTTACATGCTATTTGACTTTTGTTTCTGTTTTTAGCTTTTATAATTTTAAATTCATTTTTAAAAAATTATATAAAACATACACTATTCCAAAGTCATAAATGATACACCTGGATGCATTTGTAGTCTCTGTATTTCTGTGTAGTGATTACTGGTTATTTTGCACATTTAAAAATGTCCTGCAAATCACATGTAGGACCTCACTTGTGCTCATGCATGTGCTGTATGTACCACTGAGCTTCACCCCAGCCCTGCTTCAGTTTTTATAATTAAAATATTAATCCTTTGTAAATATCTTACAAATCTGGGAAACCTTACAAATAAATTTCTCAGTTTTCTTTCTTTTTTTTTTTTTTTAATGCAGTCAAATTTTAAAACCTTTCCCCTGTTTTTCTAGATTTTTCCTTTTTTTTTCAGGTGAGAAGTGGAGTTTGAACTTAGGGCCTCATACTTGCTAGACAGGCACTGTAGACTTGAGCCATGCCCCCAGCCTGGTTTTGCTTTAGTTATTTTTCATGTAGGGTCATGTGTTTTCTACCAGGGTTAGCCTTGAATTGTGATCCTTCTGATTTCTGCCTCCCAAATAGCTGGGGTGATAGGTAACCAGGAAACCTTTTCTTATTTTAAGCCTACAAAAGGAATTTGTGCTTGTTCTCTAGTAGTGGTGTGTTTTGTTTTGTTTTTTTTAATTGATTAAAGTCAGAGCTCGAATTGGTTTGGAGTCTTTCCCAGAAAACATGTTAGGAAGTGATCTACTTTTATCCTGTTTTAGATGGCTACTTATTGCCCCAACATTTCTGAGGAAGGATGAAAAGTAAACGTACTATCAATTTAGCTTGACACTGTGTATTTAAATATCTCTGTGTAGACCTAGATGTTTTATATAATTGTACAATGTTGTAGCACTAAGGAGGTAAAGGAGGAGAGACGAGTCATCTGTGCTGTCTGATCCTGACCTGGCTGTCCACTTTCTTTCTCTACAGGTGAATGAGCTAGACGGCATTCCCTTGATCCTTGACAGCTGCAACATAGATGACAGCAACCCCTGTATCCTTGCATGTGAGCCCCGTGCTCCGGTTCACACTGGGGGCCTTCATGTCTCTTGCTGTTGTTCATTCAGTATATAGCTGTCTGTCTGTCTTGTTCGCTTGATTCTAAGAACTGAACCATTTTCTCCAAGTTGTGATGCTGGGATATCATTTCTAAAATCTTTTTGGTGTAATGAGCTAATCTTTTAAGGTGGGTAGGACATCCCAAACCAGCCTATCACTAAAACACAGAGCAGAGTCAGTTCATCCGAGGCGCTTGTGCTGCATGTTATCATTGTCACTTTTCTGAAGTGTGTATGTGGTCCTTGGAGTGGATATGAAAAATTTTACATATTTTCCCTATGGAAATTCTGAGTATGGAGTCAGTTGGAAGAACTGCTTTAACAGTGGAACATGAGACACAGAGGAACGCAGGAGCACCCTGGCTCCCTAGCGCTAGGAAGATACATTTCAGTGACTTTCTGTCCCCATTTTTCAAGGCTGTGCCCTATGACCTTCTGCTGTTGGCACTGAGAGAGGCCATCCTCTCTGGAGTAGTTGTGCTATATGAAACAAATCTAGTACGGGTGAGTACCCTGGGTGTGGGTGCAGCCTCTTTTGGTTTGAACTGAAAACTGACCATTTCACTTTAAGTGAGAGCCAGATTCAGTTCTGATCTTAGCCCTGGTCACTGCATGGCCTTGTGCTTTTGCATATGAAGGAAGACTTGGGGTATGTGGCCTGATAGGAGGCAATGAGGAACCCAGCCTAAAACTGAGGAGTGGTCTTTGAACCTTGAGAGTCACCTCCTAGGGCTTCGGCCAAGAAGAGAAAAGGAGCTCTTGAAAGCCATGTGTTTCAAAGTAAGTAACCTGAGACATGCTTAGCATTCATGCTAAAGATACTCTCATTTGTCTGATTAGCAATTTGTAACTCTTTTATTTTAAAGAACACAATAGCTCATGAGATAGTCAGGGGAAGACAAATCAAGAGCCTCAGAAGACCCTTCTTAAAGGGAAAACAGATTGGCACATGGCAGTGAACTGTCATCAGTCATGGGATTTGAACTCAGGGCTTCACAATACCATTAGGCAGTACTCTACCACTCGAGCCACACCCCCAGCCCTCTAGCCCTTTTTGCTTTTGTTACTTTTCAAATAGGGTCTTGCTTTTTGCCTAGGTAGGCCATAAACTGTGATCTTCCTGAATAGCTAGGATTGCAATTGTGAGCCACCATATCCAACCAGAATTTGCATACTTTTTAGCCCAAAGAAAAAAGAAAGAAGAAGGCTTCCACTTATAGGAACACAGGCCAAGTGTAATTGAAGATGTTGTGTTTCCCATTGAAAAAAATGATGTATTGAAAACAAAAGTCTCCCACAGTTTGCTTTTATGTTCCCTGAATTTACATTCCAGTGAAGAGCAAGGACCAATCACTAAAAAGGCTGTGACACACAGGCCTGTGGGGTGTACAGATGTGCAGCTCAGCAGCCATGCTCACAGTACTCTCTCACCAGATGCTTGTGTGGCATTCACCATTTTTTCTTTATTGTGTTACACCATGACAGCACCATTAACCAGATGTGGTCCCCATTTTGTAGACGAGGAAATGTGAGAACCTCATTGACTTACCCTGCAGGTCACTGGAGCTTAACCTTGTGAGCGCCCAGTTCTTACACTCTCCAGTATTGCCTCCTCAGTAGTCACTGGGAGGAGAGGAACACATGCAGCAACACCATATTAACATTTTCATGCAGTTGAGAAAGTACTCATTTTTAAAAGGCATGTGGGCATCCATATAGATAACTGGCTTTTATAGTGGTTATTAGTGACCACTTAAGTGACTCGTTAAGAAAAGATAGATTATTGCAAGTGTGTTTAGTGTTGTCTGTATTTGATAATTCTTTGGAGTTTTATTTATTAAACCTATCAGATTTTATTTTATTTTGTTTTTGGTGGTACTGGGGTTTGGACTCAGAGCCTCAAGCCTGGCTAGGCAGGCCCTTTACTATTTGAGCCACTCCTCCAACCCAAGCCTACCAAATTTTAAAATCACATACAATAGGTGCAATAAGAGGAGACATCAGAGCAAAAGGAGAGTGTTGGTTGAATGATCAGAATTGAGAATGCATTATAGCCTAGAGGCTATAATTGTGTTTTAGATATGAACTGTAAATTAAAATCTGGCCTCACTAGTGCCAAAGCAAATAGCAATATGATACAGACCACAAAATCTACCTCCTGCCGTAGGTGTAGCCACACAGGGCCCCCCCATGCTGTTTCTCTGTTACTGCTCCCAAGCTTCCTCCTTAGATGTTTTTATTCATGAGAATAATGCATTTACATGACTTTTAAGTGCCAAAAGCATTTAATGGAGAAGCAGGATCTCTGGTGCCACTCTCTACACCTTTTATTGTCATCTGTTTGTTTGAGATGAGGTCTCACCAATAGCCCAGACTAGCCTTGAACTTGGCAATCCTCTTGCCTCAGTCTCCCAAGTGCTGGGATTACAGCCATCACCACCTTGATTGGCATCTCCACGCTTTTTAATTCATTTTCTCAGCTGTTGGTTCTAGTAGTTGCTTTTGTATATCCACTCCAGTCCGTGTGTGTGTGTGTGTGTGTGTGTGTGTGTGAGTGTATGTGACTGGGGTTTGAACTCAGGTCTTTGTACTTGCAAAGCAGGTGTTCTACCACTTGAGCTATACCTCCAGCCCTGCTTTTGTATATCTAAATAACATGCTTTGCTGCTGTTTCTTGTTATATTAACTTTTGATGCTAACTATGTATGACCTGAGTATTTAGCTCCTGGGCACCACCTCTTCACCTCCCTTCTTCACGTTTCTACCACTGTAGTCAGGACTACGTATTTCATTTCCTGCTGGCCACATTACTAATGAGACAGAGCATCTCATAAAGTGTGTGTGTGTGTGTGTGTGTGTGTGTGTGTGTGTGTGCGCGCACATACACATGGTGTGCTTGACAAGCCTTCTGCACATTTTTCTGTTGGGTTTTCTCTTACTTGTTTGTGACAAGTCTTCAGTGTATTTTGGTAGAAACTCTTTGTCAGCTGCACATGTTGGTGATATTTTCTGTCTCCTATCCTGTGTCTTCTCTTTGCCATTCTCTTTATTTTGAATGACAGATGTTGTTGCAGTTTAATTTACCACTTTTCCTTTATGGTTGTTAATATTTTGGGTTTTTTTTTGTATGCATAACTTGTTTAAGAATTGTTTCCCTATGATGATCCTATTTTTAATGCAAATTTGCTTTTTTTTTTTCTTCTTGGCAGTACTGAGATTTGAACTTAGGGCCTTGCTGTGTAGCACTCTACCACTTGAGCCACTCCCCAAGCCCTTTTTGCTTATTTTTGGCATACGGTCTCACTTTTTGTCTTCCTGGGTAGCTGGCAGGCACACACTGTGACACCCAGCTATTGGTTGAAGTGGGGATCCCAAGAACTTTTTGCCTGGGCTGCCTTGAGTTGCATTCCTCCCAGTCTCCACCGCCAAGTAGCCAGGATTACAGGAATGAGCCACCCCACCTACATTTGCCATTCATTTGAAGTTTTGATTTTTTGGGAGGGGGCTAGTGAGACAGGGTCTCACTTTGTAACTCAGGCTGGCCTTGAGCTTGCAGTCTTCTTGCCTCTCTGCCTCCCAAGTGTTGGGGTTATAGGTATGGACCACTATGCCCAGCTGAAGTTGATTTTTCTGTGTGATGTGACCTAGAGGCCTATTCCTGTTTTTTTCTATGTAGACATGTGCCCTAGTTATTGAATAGAACATGCTTTTTTGCCCTAGAGTTCCACTTTTATCATGAATCAAATATTTGTTACAAGTTTTGGTCTGTTTTGAACTCTCTCTTTTTTTTTTCTGGGAGTTTTGTTTGTTTGTTTTTGTGACAGGGTCTTGCTATGTAGCCAAGGCTGGCCTTAAATTGATAATTCCCGTTTCAGCTTCCTGCATGCTGGGTTTACAGTAGTACGCCCCCACTCACTGGGGCTCTCTTTTCCGCTGCTATATTTATATAAATCTGCACCAGTGCCACAGTCTTAGTTACTATAGCTTTCCAACATTTCTGTCAGCCATGCAAGTCCTTCCAACTTGTTACTGCTGCTTTAAGAGTATTGTGACTATTTTTGTTAAAGTATGTTTTTAACACCAGCTCATGAAACTGCCACACATTTCACACTCAGGTGCACACACACAGAATTGCCACCAACAAAAACAATTTAAAACTCCCATAACTACTGAGTTACTCACTGAAATTATATTGAGTAAAATGAATTTGCAGAGAATTGAGGTGCAACACTGAATCTTCAAACTCATTAATGTGTTGTATCAGTTTATTCCTTGCTGTTAATTTTAACTTTTGTTCGTTTCTGTGTTTTTCAGCTCTGTGGCATGATTTTTGATATATAATAGTTGCTGCCATTCATCTTTAACCTTGACACACATGCATGTGTGTGTCTGGTGACTTAGGTGCGGGGTAGTTCTATACTCCATGGAGATTGCTCCCATACATGTTCATTGTTTAGTGAAGTTTCTGCGGTTGGCCATAGTATTAGTTCAGATTTGTTTGGTTTGGGGAGAGGTTTTTTTTTTTTGGTGCTGGGATCGAACCCAGGGCCTCATGCATGCTAGGCAAGCGCTGTACCACCGAGCTACATCCCAGCCCAGATTTGTTTGGTTTAATCCATTCTTCCAGTAACTGATTCTAGCCAAGTGGGGGTTTGGTTTTGTTTTTTACTGTACTGGAGATTGAACCCAGGGCCTCCTTATGCATGCCAGGCAAGCCCATTACCACTTGAGCCATGCTCCCAGCCCTTTAGTTTGTATTTTGTATTTGAAGTAGAGTCTCCCTAACTTTGCCCCGACTGACCTCAAACTCTCAATCCTTCTGCCTCCGCTTCCTGAGTAGCTGGGATTACACTTGTGCACCACCATGCCTGGCCACCAGCCAAGTCTTTATTGAACTTGAGTTTTAATATTTTCTGTTAAAAAGCAGTAGATTTTT